TCACAATGGCCTAAAAATAAATTTTAAAAAATAGATATTTGGGGGTATCTCAACCAAACAAGTGAAAGACTTGTACTATATAACCTTTTAGACATTGAAGAAAGAAATTAAAGAAGATATCAGAAAGTGGAAAGCTCTCCCATGTTTATGGATCAGTAGATTTATATAGTGAAAATGGCTCTCCTACCAACATCCATCTACAGAATCAATGAAAGACCCATCCTAAGTTCACCCCAATTCTTAATAAAACTGAAGGGACAACTTTCAGTGTCATATGGAAACACACACTCAAAAGAACAAGAATAGACTAAACAATCCTGAAATAAACAACACCAATACTTTTTTTGGAGTTACCACCAGCCCCAATTTCAAATTGTACTACAGAATGATAATATCAAAAACAGCAGGACAGGCTGCTGTTTTGTCTTATTGACAGTGTCCTTTGCCTTACAGAAGCTTCTCAGTTTCATGAGGTCCAATTTATTGATTGTTGCTTTCAGTGTAAATTTGTAGGCAAATGGATGGAACTAGAAAAAAAATCATCTTGAGAGAGGTAATCCAGACCCAGAAAGACAAACACAGTATGTACTCCCTCATAAGTGATTATTAGACACAAAGCAAAGGATAACCAGGCTACAATTAACAATCCCAGAGAAGCTAGGTAAAGAGGAGTACCCCAAGAGGGACACACATGAATTGCCCCAGGAAGAGGAAAGAGTTAAGATCTCTTGGGTAAACTGAGAGCGGGGAGAAGAGGGGAGAGCATGGAAGATGGGAACATGAGGGCTCGAGATCGCTGAGTTGGAGTGGGGAGGGTGAAGAAGAGCAATGAAAGAGATATCTTGACAGAGTGAACCATTAAGGGGTTAAGGAGAAATCTGGAACTAGGGAAAGACCCAGGAATTCATAAGGATGTTCCCAGCTGAGACTCATTGCAATAGTGGACAGTGTTCTTGAACTAGCCTTTCAACTGTACTCAGATTGGTGTCCACCCTAATTATCCACCATAGAACATACATCCAGTGAATTGGTGTCTACCCTAATTGTCATCATAGAACACACATCCAGTGAACTGGTGTCTATCCTAATTGTCATCATAGAACATACATCCAGTGACTGATGGAAGCAGATGCAGAGACCCACAGCCAAGCACCTGGCCAAGCTCCTGGAGTTCAATTAGAGAAAGTAAGGAGGGATTATAGGAGCAAGGGGTGTCAGGATCATGATAGGGAAAAAACCACAGAGAGAGCTGATTCAAGCTATTGGGAGCTCATGGACTCTGGACTGACAGCTGTGGAGACTGCATGAGACCATACTAGGCCCTCTGAATGTGGGTG